CGCGCACACGCGCACACGCGCACACGCGCACACGCGCACACGCGCACACGCGCACACGCGCACACGCGCACACGCGCACACGCGCACACGCGCACACGCGCACACGCGCACACGCGCACACGCGCACACGCGCACCCGCGCACCCGCGCACCCGCGCACCCGCGCACCCGCGCACCCGCGCACACGCGCACACGCGCACACGCGCACACGCGCACACGCGCACACGCGCACACGCGCACACGCGCACACGCGCACACGCGCACACACGCACACACGCACACACGCACACTAGCACACACGCACACACGCACACACGCACACACCCACACACACACACACACACACACGGCACACGCACACACGCACACACGCACACACGCACACACACACAGACACACAGACACACAGACACACAGACACACAGACACACAGACACACACACACACAGACACACACACAGACACACACACACACAGAAACACACACACAGAAACACACACACACACACAAACACACACACACAGAAACACACACACACAGAAACACACACACACAGAAACACACACACAGAAACACACACACAGAAACACACACACACACAGAAACACACACACAGAAACACACACACAAACACACACACAGAAACACACACACAGAAACACACACACAGAAACACACACACAGAAACACACACACACACACACAGAAACACACACACAGAAACACACACACACACAGAAACACACACACAGAAACACACACACAGAAACACACATACACAGAAAAACACACACAGAAACACACACAGAAACACAGAGAACCACACACAGAAACACACAGAAAGAAACACAGAGAAACACACAGAAACACAGAAACACACGCACGCACACACACACACCCACACACAGAAACACACCCACACAGAAACACACACACACACACACAGAAACACACACACACACAGAAGCACGCACAGATTCTGACACACAGACAGACACAGACACAGACACAGACAGACAGACACAGACACACAGAGACACAAAGACAGAGACACAAGCCCAAAGACACACGGGGACACAGACACACACAGACACAGAGACAAACAGAGACACACAGAGACACAGAGATACAGAGAGGACACAGACACACACACAGGCACACACACAGGCACAGAGTGCTATGAGTTACCCAAATGCTGCCTGAAGGCATTCGAGTCGCACCGACTCTGGCGTCCATGCTTGCCGGCTGGTGATCTGCGCTCGGCTGGCAGTCGGCGAGCCAAATGCGGAAGGATGGATTCTGGGCAGCTAGGTGTGTGAGGGATCCGCAGGCGAAAGCTTGGGGGGTGTGCTGTTGCCAAAGCTGACTAAATGCAAAACCGACCGAAAGCCTGCCCAGAGCGCACTGGATGTTTCCATTTCGCAACTTGGGTGTTCTGTTAGCTGGTGCTTCTGTACTGGTTTTGTGCCCTGCTGACGCAATAGTAGTTGTAGCGTAGCACGTATCTTCTACTAGTCAACAGTATCCCCTACCATCCGCTACTTGACAGGCCTCAGTTCCACTACTGGAGGAAGCAAGTTTCAAGAAATTTTGTTCGGCGCTGTGCTGACCAGCAGGGAAAAGGACGCCTTGAAAGAAACTCCCACGATGCTAGTGGCAACCAAGCTTGCGGTAGGCGCATTTCCAGACAGTATGGTAGGTTATTGCTTTTGCTCTACACACGTTTGCTTGTTTCTGCGTGAGTCGCGGTTCCTCTTGCACGCTGCGGCACTTTCGGAGCAGGAAGCGCTGCTGGTCTCGGTGGGCAGGCCTTCAGCTCACAGGGTTCCACCAAAACGCCCAAGTCACTTATATAGTAACAACAATCGTATCCTTATACATAACTAAAACTCTTCCCTCAAGCCCCGCAAATATGTACCAACCAGGCCCTTACCCCTCCCCCACCATGACTGAAGCAGCAACCTTCCCACACATCCCCTGCCCCAAGAGTGTTTCAATCATGAAACTAGATCGCGCTATTAAACACCTCTTGCAAATAGTTGGGCCCTCGCACGTGTTTTGGCCTTGAGGAGAAAGCTTGTTCGTACGGTCAAGTGTGTAGCCAAATCCCTGGGTCCCCCAAACACAAATTTGCAGGTCTGGTGGGCGCAGCTAAAAGGGCTGGCTCGCCGAATCTCAGGTCAAAACCCGTCAAACTTTGGAGGAAGTCATGCCCTTCCAAAGCGTGCCTGGTTTTCCAGAAAACCCGTCGAACCCGTCACGCTTGCTGCATGCATCGCGTTCATCGCATTCTGGCTGGTAGCCCCTTCATGTACAAACACCACCGAAAAAAGACGGTAATGATTTGGATCAGGTTAACGGACACTGACGCACAGCGAACACTCGCACTTGGATCAGCACGAAATCTTCGCGCTCCTTCTCAACACGTCCTGCTCTGCTATGCCTTGAAGCTTCTTTGTCTCAGGCCTAAGCCTCCCCCACTCGACTCTGTCAGCTGCCCATGTAGGCTAGTGGCCCGTGTGCCCCCCTTGAAGCAATGACTGACATGCTTGGCCGTTCCTTGAACATGCTTTGTAATCCTGCAACGTAAGGACAAACTGGGTTTGGGGGTGGGTGCGCGAATGTGGGGAGCAGGCACCCTTGACAAGACCCACCTTCATGAACACATCATGCTGTGTTAGCCTACAGTGTGGCTTGTTGGACAGTTTCTCATTGAGAATTGGGAACCTGGGCTCATGGCTGAAGTTGGGGATTTTTGCGCACGTGCGCACGCACAAATCAAGCTACACGAGATCGAAGGCTTAGCTTGATTCGTTTGGAACGCCGCGTGGTGCTGTGATTTCTTTGGCCTTCGGTCGGGCCGAACTTTGTTTACAAATTTGAAGTGTGACCCTTGAGCGTGATCCTTGAGCGTGACCCCGAAACCTTTCCCCAAATTAAGCAGCGTTAGCGGGATTTGGCTACACACTTGGCCTTACAAATGGGTTCCCTCCTTGCAAGGCCCAAACGCATGCAAGGGCCCAACTATCTGCAAGCAGTGTTTAATAGCAGGATCTAGTTTCAAAGTTATTGACCTCAAACACTCTTGGGGCAGGGAATGTGTGGGAAGGTTGCTGCTTCAGTCATAGTGGGGCTTGAGGGAAGCTTTTTAATTATCTATCAGGTGACGATTGTTATTACTAAGCGATTTGGGCGTTGGCGGAACCCTGTGAGCTACAGGCTTGCCCACTTCAAGCAGAAATTCGTGCTCCGAAAGTGCTGCAGTGTGAGAAGCAAACATGTGCAGAGCTAAGCGGGCCTATCACAATGTCTGGCAATGTATCCTACCGCAAGCTTGGTTGCCACAATTTCTGATTTTTCCTCCAGTAATGGAGCTGGGGCCTGTCAAGTAGCTGATTGTTACTAAGAGCTACTACTGACAATGGGAGGGCACGTGCTGCGCTACAACCATCATTGCGTCAAGGACTGCGCAGCGGCAAGGCACAAAGCCAGTACAGAAGCAGCAGCTAACAAAACACCCAGTTGCGAAATGGAAAACACCCAGTCCACTCTGGACATGCTTCCTAAGTAATGGGTCCTTCCTGGAAGGCATGCTTCGGGGGGGTTGGGGGTTGCTTTGTTCGCCGGGGTTTGTCAAAAAACGGCTTGTGCTTCATGCCGCCTTTTGTTTGGCCCATTCAGGATGCTACGAGGCGCTGCTGTCTCAACTGAATGTGGCCTGGCCAGAGGTCTGCGGAGCTGGCAATTGGCATTTGATTTGCTCACCTGGGGGGGGGGTCAACAAAAGGAGCCCCCTTTGCCCCGGACAGGCGGCACAAAGTGCCCTCAATATTTGACAGGCCCTCGCCTAACTGATCTTCCACATAGCCGTGCGATTTCGAGCAATGGTGGGAATACTTCTGATCCATCACACCATTCGTAGCATATCAGTATTGTGCTACATTAACTGCTCAGTGTCAGATTGGTTTTTAGATCGAGCCGTGTGACATCATCAGGTAACGTCTTTTTGGCTCACTGAATCTCACTGATCATCATGCCGGTCGTCATGGTTCATTTGCGCGGCCAGCATTTGTTGGTGGAAGGATTCGCTCGGAAGCAATTGCTCCACACTAGTTCCCCGCTTTTCCGCACGTAGACGAACCCTCCCCACCCTCAAGGCGTTGCATCTCCCAAAGGAGTTTCTCGTGCGCGAAGGCCGCAGATCCTTTCGGTGCATCCGGTTTTCCCCCGAGGAGGCGCTGCCTCCAGACATCCGGGTGCTCGGGGCGCGCAAGGTGCCCAAGAGCTTCGACGCCCGGCCCCTCGCCTTTCGGGCGCGGAGCTCGCGTTGGTTTATGGAGGTTTGGGTTTTTGAGCTCCAGTTCACTTGAACCCTCTGGAGGCAGTTTTGGTTAAGCAGTCTTGCCAAGATGTGGCCTTGGCTTTGCTTTGCAGAGGCCTGGGCCCTCACCTGCGGGGGCAAAGTGGGACTTGTGACGGTTGGCTTCTGAATGATGGCACTGTCAACCGCCAGCAGCTGCTTGCACTCCGCCCTGATATTTGTCGATGAAATTGGTATCCACGTCATTGTTCCTCCAATTCCGGACTCGAAACATTACAAGTGAGCCTGACGAGGGGGTGCTACCGTGGGCTGGTTGCACTACAGCATGCTGAGATTTTGCTTGCAGGTTCTCCTGCTCCTGGCGCGAGTATGGCTACCTCCTGCCTGCCAAGTTGTTCCAGAGCAGCGCGGCTGACGCACCCTAGCAGCAGAGTTGGAGATGAAGATCAACATGGTGTGTCATTTACCGGCATTTCTTCTTTGCCGTGGCAATATGTTGGGCGTGTTTGGGGGGGTCTCAACCGGTGTTCATCCAAACTTTCTCTGGTGACAAATGCAAGGCACGCCCCACACCTCTCCCAAGCCTCGGCGAGTGTCATCAAATATCTGAGTGCCGGTTGAATCGGCATGCGACTTGATTATTCACATGCACGTGTGTTTGCGCTTGCTTGTTTGTTGATTGGTCGGTTTGGTTGGTTTGGTATGGTTGGTTTGTTCTAGTGTCGCTTGATTGGGTTGTTTCTTCTTTGTTTCACAGAGGGAGCGGAGGGCCAGCTTCTAGCCACGGTCCGCCTTGGGCATTTGCTCCGTCCATTTGCCCGACAACTGCAACATCCATAGAATCACCTTTTTTGGGCAGCCAACTTGCTGCAGCCATTTTCTCACCAGCGCTGGCTGGCAGTCCGAACCATCCTGAACCATGCTCTTCCGAAAGCTGGTGTTTTGCTTTGCTGCTGCTCATCATTGGACAGTGCCTCATCGGTGGCTGCAACGTCCATGCCGGCATCTTCACCAATGCAATTGGCAAATAGCCACCTTCAATCAGCCTATGGTGTGGTAAAGGAGTTCCATGGATTCTTATCGGATTGCCCTGACTTGGGCATCCATTTTGTAACAAGATAGATACCAGGAGCAGCGCTCAGTTTGCATGCTGGGACTGTGCTTGCTCAAGGTGGCTGGCCGTATCCAGCAGCTGCTGAAGCCATTTGTCGGCTGGCACTGTTTCCACAACTTTGCTCGCATCCGGGGCAGACGCAAAGGACGGGTCAACCGCCGGCTGGGAGTTACCGGAAACACATGTATGGGCAAGCGTTGACTTGGGGGCTCAGCATTTGTGTTGGAATCCAGTTTGGCTTCAAGACCTAAAGTGGCTGAAAGTGTTTCTGCTTTGCGGGGCACTGAGTCCTTCCGTAGGCGTGGCGACCCTCAGCGTGAACCTGTGTAAGGAAACGATTGTATTTTTTTTAATCGGTGCTCGGGTCATGTCAAGCGAGTGCACATACTCCCTATCAGCAACGGATTGTCGATTTCTGCAAACTTCAGTGATCATAAAAAAGTGGTCCGGCTTCCTTTGGCAAGAGCAGCATTTCTTCAGCACACGCTGGCAGCTTGCCAGCCAATTTGTTGGGTGCCGTGCCGATGAGACCAGATCACGCAAGTGGGACGTGCGAATGGTGGAATCAAATATTGACAGGGGCCTCCTTTGGCGGCCGGGATCCCCACCTAGGAACCAGGACGCCGGCATTGGGGCTGGGGCCGTGCCCGCCCCGCAGGAGGAGATCTGTTAGAGCAGACAGTGGCAAAGCTCGAGATGTGCTCAGCAGACGTGGTTGAGCTGGAGGCTGGGGGAGGGTGGAGTGACTGAATCTGGGACACTGTTTGCTGGGGGCTGGGGCTTGCTCAACGGCAAAGCGGTGGTCTCCTCCCTGAGGATAACCCCCATGAGCCGGGTTCGACATTAAATTAGAAAATGGGGGGGGGGGGTTGAGCCCATTTTGGGCTTGTTTTTTCTAAGGATGTCACCTCCCATGGTGGGGTTGGCACTCCCCATTTTCTAAATGGTGAATAAACGAAAATGGGTCTGGTCAGGAAGGGTTCTAGGTTGGCCCCCCCATTTTCTAAAATTAGAAATTTCTCAGTCTGGATTGGTTGACCCCATTTTCTAAAATCCGCATTTTCCCTTGGGTGACTCCCGCACCGAGGATGGAAGAAATATCGCCAAATGCAATTCCTCAATTAGAAGTACATGCATGTGTATGCCTATATGTGTATGTTGTATAGATATGTTGCGTGTTTTTTGAGGGTGCCCTTTTGTGGGTTAGGTTACAGGGAGACCAAACAGACCAAACGAGACGAAACGAGACGAAACGAGGTTACATAAATGCTTTTCCAAAGTCAGGGCCCATCCCTTCGACCTGTTCACATGTCTCATTTTGGCAGTCCTCGGCCATACCCAATGTTCAACTCTTTTGACTTTAGAGGGATTAGAGGGGTTTTATGTCGTATTTCACTGAAAGTTTACCTTGCAAGGGAGCCACACGCTATAACAGAAATGATGCTGACACTAGTGGAGGTTGACCTCCCAATCTTTTCACGACGCTGCGGCTTTCGTTTTTTCATGGTGGGGTTGGACCCCTGCATTTTCTTTTATTGGGGGTTGGCCCAGTGCCACGTCGGACCGAGGTTGGCCCCCCCTTTTTCTAAATTGAGCATGTTTTATGAAGATGGGGTCGGCCCGCCGTTTTCTAATGAAAAATGGGGTTGGGTTGGACCCCCGCATTTTCTGTAGAAAATGGGGGGGTCCAACCCCACTCCCCAACACCAGACCCCGATTCCCATGTTAGCGTCGGCTTCTTTGTGTTACCAAGAGGAAAGAGTGGGCAAGCAAAAGGGAATGGGCTTGGGAGTAGTTTTATCAACCCTGATAAGGTTCGTGCTGGATGTTCAGAGAGGACAGCTGCACAGTTTACTCGAACTTCCCCTGCCTTTTGGCTCACAGCCTTCTGCAAGTTTACACCCTCCTTCCTGCTTGCGCAGGGGAGTGACTGCGTCGAGATCAGCCTGCAGGGCAACCGGTTCCTCTACAACCAGCTCCTGGGACGAACCCGTGGAAACTGATCACATCAGGGCTTCTCAAAACTATTTGCAGATAAGATATCTTTCAGGGAGGTACCCGGGTACCCTTTTTGATGTCAGCCTTTTCCAAGCTTTCCCAGCCCCGAATGGCTTGCTGAGGGTGTTTTTTTTCTTGAGAGTCACTACCTCACCCGCGAGTACTACACAACAACAGGGTTCCAGGAGACGTCCGGGATTTGTTTGAAGGGCCTCCTACGTTTGTGAACCCTTGAGCCAGGTTGCTGAAAAATGGCTTTGCCAACCGTGATTTGTGTGCTTGTGCCATCCATGGCGTCACAAGCATGTCAATGGCTTTTTGCGCTGGGGCACTGATCACGGGTTGGAAGTTGAGCTCGAGCAATGGCACACTAGGGCGACCGACCGCACGGCAGCAGGGGGGCGCATAGCTCGTCGACGGTGTTTTTCTTGCATACACCTGCCATCACCATGTTTTTTGCGTAACATATATGGGAGTCGGGGCATACGGCCTGTGTAACACGCTTTGCCCGGAGGATTCGGTACATCGCTGGTGCACTGGCAGCGGTTGCTATGGGCGAGCTGCAGCGGCCTCAGATGAAAAGGAGGTGACCCTGGTCTGTCACGCGGGTCACCTTGGCTGCAAATGGCTTCTGTGACCTCTTTCTTTTTTGGGGGATAGTTTCACCTGCAGCAGTGTCTCAGTCACATCTTTCACCTGCAGCATTGAGGTCAGTCAGAACTTGCCGTTTACCGTCCACCAACTACTCCGCCTAATGTTTTGACCCCTCCCCCTTTCACATCCCATCCATTTGAGGGCCTTAATGGCCTTGACGCTTGGAACCTCAACAGCAAGTTTTTCCAGTTTGGTTGCCCAGGCCCGAGAAGTCCCTGACCGCGGCGCTGCGCAGTACCGCGAGGCTTTGGTGGGGGGCTCATCAAGAATAAAGTTCCGGTGTTCCTTGAAGCCAAGCCGGCAACTAAAGGCGTATGAAAAGTTCTGGCAAACATCTGCTGCAGGGCAGACAGAGCAGAGCTGGGAAGAGCTAGGCATAGAAGGGCACAGATGGGCATAGACGGTTGCGTGAAAGGTCAGATATTTTTATGGGGCTATAACTCAGCAAAGGTTCCTCCAGAAAAACACGCTGTCACGTTGCCCAGCCGGATGCAAGCTTTGACGTCCTGAAGTGAAGATACTGCAGTTTCTGTACCCTAAAGTTCACAGAGGAAAGCGGCCCAAGCCTCGAGGTTTCGCTTCCCACTGGCGCCTCCTGGGGGGCTGGCGCTGCGCAGCGCTGGCTTTACGGGCTCCTCAGCGGGAGTTTCTGAGCTTGGCAGGGTTCCTTGACATGTCTTTGGGGTGGATCTTGGCGCCGGGGGGGAGTTCGTCTTCGGCAACTCGGCTTTGCAGTTCCTCTTTGTTTCTGAGAGCGTTGGACGAATGTCTTCGAAATTCGTCTGTGGGTGTGCGGAAAAGTACTAATCCCCCAGCGGCCGCTAATTGCGAAGACGAATCTCCGAAGACGAATTCCCACCCGAAGGCGAATTGCAAAGACAAACCCGCCGAAGCCAAACTCCCTCCCAAAGCCAAATTTCTCCCGGAGCCGAACTCCTCCCCGAGCACGGGTTGCGAAGACGAATTCCTGAAGAGAAATTCCCGCCCGAACCTGAATTTGCCCGCAAAGACGAATTGCGGCGCATGCTTGCTACCTTGCAACCTTTGGCCAATCTCCAGCTGAGGCACGCGGCAGAAGCCTTGCGAGGTGGCCATGGACCTGGAGCAAGTGTACAGCCGCATGCTTCCCACGGCAGCCTGGCAGGAACCACGGATCCGCAAGGTGTAAATTTGTCTGAGGGACCCTTGCAGCATGGGAATTCATGTGTATGGGGATGTATGTCTACAAAAATCAGGCTTGGGGGTTAACATGAACTACAAGAAAACTGTAAGCCAACCTTCGTTCTCCTGCAAGATGCTTTTTGATGTGGCTCTCGAGCCCAGACCACCCTGGCCCTGCTGGATGCCGGGGGCAGCATCCGTGCAGCCGCCTTCGAGAGGGCGGTGAAGCAGGAGGCAGCGAGAAGCTGGAAGGCGCGAGACCGGTGTGAATGTTGACATGGGGCCCGTTTATGGCCCTGGCCCGTGGCCCTGGCGTCATTTTGCGCCGGATGGGTGGTTTGTAAGGAAACTGTGGTCAGGGTGCTTTGGAGAAGCATTTTGTTGCTGTTACCATGGCACAAGTATGACGAGGTTTCGGACGCATGTAGCGGGCCTTCTTATGCTCTTCTTGTGGGTCAGTTGTGTCCACCACTTGGTCACTCTTTCCGGGCGCATCTGCCTATTTGCGCATCTGCCTATTTCAATGATGACCCTTCCCAGGTGTGTTCTCTTCGAAGCAGGGTTTTGCCTTTGACGGTTTTGTTTCGTCTAGAACCTTGCCAGGTATTCCAGTGAATGGCGCTTTGTACTGGCAGCGAGGCACAGACCTCTCAGAAGCCCTGGTTTTGACAAATTCCCTATGTGTTGGGACCCACGGTGTTGACGTCAAGTCTTATTCGCAATTATCGAACAGGAGGACACCTGTTAAACCGAGCGCCGCACCACTGATCCGATCCTTTGGGCGTGTGGTTGTGTCACGTCCGCAGGATGGCAAAGTTCGTGTTTTTGCATTTGTTGGGGAGGGGGGGACTGAGGATGATCATCCGCCAGGGATCTTAGACAGCCACTATAAGTGAAGCCAAACTCACACACAAGGAGCCTTGACCACAACACATCCGTGGGACATGTTGGTCACTGACCGCAGGCTGCGGAGGCGGAGTTCCGGGAGAACTTGCGCTTTGCTCGCCTGCCGCAGGAGGCCGGCAGCGGTTCTATCAGATCACCCGCGCATCCTTGGACACCCTCCGGTTGCACAAAGAAGAACTGTGCACCTATAAAATCCAGCAGAGGCGGGGGCAGAAGTTTCAAGCATGTAAGGAACATGCACGAACTATAGTGCTGAGCGCTCTTCTTTCTCTTTCTCTTGTCTTCTTTCTCTTCTCTTCTCTTCTTTCTCTTTCTCTTCTCTTCTTTCTCTTTCTCTTCTCTTCTTTCTCTTCTTTCACTTTCACTTTGTTTGTCTTGTCTTTGTCGGTCTTTTCTCTCTCTTTTTGTCTCTCGCCCTCCTTCTCGAGGTGTGGCGCAACTCCCATGGCACTCCCATGGCGGCCCTGGCCCTCCTGCGCTGAGTGTCCACCCAACGCAAACGGTGGGAGTTCGAAGCCTTCGGACAGTTGGCGCTTGATAACATGGCAACTTTGTCCAAATGGAAACCAATGGTACCGTTATTTTGTCGAGGAAAGTAAGGGGCCTTGCACCAGCTGGAAAAGTAGCTTTGCCTTCTTAAGAAGCCATATTGTTTGCGACCCTGCTCTTGCCGTGGAAGGGCGGAAATGGGTCAAGTAAACTGGTTGGGGTTGGCAAGGCAAAGACCTCATAGTCTAGGTGACCTTTCCAATTGTGCAGGTTGGACCTGGTATTTGCAATGGTAGCAATAACTCTCCTGTGACGAGAGGAATGGCCTGCGGGTTTTGTACAGTTTGCTTTCTTGAAGTTTTGCCTTCCTTCAACATTATGTAATGAGGTTCCACTTCGGATTAGCTCAGCCATTCAGAAGTGGTCGTCTGTAAAGGACCGGTCCTGGGCGGCTAGCTCCAAGCATTGGCTGATTCTATTGGCTTCCTTTTGGCTGCTGCCATTGAGGCGAAGGCGGTTGCTTCCACGCCTTTGAGGCTTGCACGGGTTGCCTAACAACGGCGGCCCTAGAATGGGTGTTCTGCACTTCGGTTTCCGTTTGGCACCACCCCAACGCCGGGCACGCCCAAGACCACAAATCCCACCTGAGCCACAATCAAAACCTGGGTAGATGAAGGTTAGTAAGGGACGATCCCAACCAGAAATAGCCGCGGCCGCCTTCTTAATCCTGTACATGGTTCTGGGTTCACCATTTTTGTACCAGGTTTTGATTGCGTCTTACCTCGCTGCTCGCCTCACTGGTCCTGGGCAGGACCTGGACGACCTGTGCGCCACCCCTCGCCACCTGCAGCCGCGAGCCGTGCTCGCGCGCCAGCGCCGGAAAGCGAAAGCGTTGGAGAGGAGAAAAGTGGAGCGGCAGACTGCTGAATGAACCACGATATCCAGGGATCCAAGCTATATATATATAATATATAGAAATATATATGGGAGTCGTTCTAAAGGTCCTTGTAAGGAGTTTAGTATTCGGTGACCATCGGTGTTGGTTGAGGTAGCTCCGCGAAAGATTCGCGATGGAGTTGCGAAAGTAACTTTTTTTCTCGCGAAAGTTTTGCGTAACTGTGTCTTGCAAATCAATGGTATGTGAAACCATTCATCTTTGCTGGTGAGCCTTCCTTCTAAGCTGATTAAAGTTGATTTTGCGCTGATAAAGCCTGGTGAGGCTACAGCTTGATACCCTGCTTGGCTGGTTCGTGCCCCCAGCCTGTGTATGTGTGCCTGTGGGTGTTCAGTCGGTGGCTTTCCGCTCTGAAACGTGGGTGATTTTTCGCGAAAGTTCCGCGAAAGATCCGCGAAAGCCCGCGCGAAAGCGCAGGCTTCGATTGTAAGGGGAGGTACTTTCTGAGCGCCGCGCTAGTCAGTATACTAGCTTGGCACTGGAAAGTTGAGACTTCAAGCTGGAGCTGCACGGCTTACGAAAAGCTGCGTCTTTCCAGCCGGTGCATGTCATGTACTACCCTTGTGATGAAAAGCTGCAACTTTACAGCTGGAGTCGGGGAATCGAATTTCGTGCACTACGCTGGCACTTAAAAGCTGCGGTTTTCTGAATTGAGCAATGAAAAGGGCACGGCGATGAATCCGCGAAAGATTCGCGAAAGTAACTTTTTTATTCGCGAAGAATGGCCGTTTCGAGACACAGGAATTTAGAACAACCACCATATATATATATATACACACGTTTGATCAGGCTGCAACCTTACTGGACCTGAGCAAGCCGAAGTAGCCTTGCGGAGGGTGCTCATTGAGTTTGCACGAGGTTTCCTTCTGTGTACCTGAGCCATGTCAGTCTTTGGCACGCGCACGCCCCACGCCGGTCATTAGACGTCACTGGGCGCCAGTTGTTTCGCATGCCCGAGAGGGGCGGCCGCTCGTGGCAGGTCTGGCGAGAGCGGGCACCCAGCCCCACGCCAGAAGTCCCGGAAGTCCCGGAAGTCCCGGCAGCGGCGCCGGAAGTGGAGGCGATGCCAGAGCATCTCTGGATTGTCTTCTCGGAAGCCCCGGAGCTGGAGGCACGGTGGGTGTATGGCAGGCGGGGTGTTTTGGCGGTGTGGACCCTATTGACAAGGCAGCGGATTTGTAAACTCAACCGAGGCGTTCTATGAGGGTCTCCGTTCAAGATTGCTAGGTTGCATGGTAGCGAGGGAGATGAGGACTTCCACTTGTCTGTCATTCCCTTGGTTGTGGCAAAAAGTAATGCATGCCATTTCCGACCTTGACGGCTCGTGGTACGGGTAAGCTGGCGCTGGCAAATTCATCAAACGAGCCAGGCGGCAGCAGCGAGCTTGCTTGCGTTCGTTTGGTGGGAATTCCTGTTTTGCCGTTGCAGGCCGTGTTTGCCAATCGACGACAAGGGCTGGACTGTTGAATGTGACGGTTGCTGTTTCATGCTGACCAACCGTGACTTTGAAGCTTTAGAGGCTCAACATGCTAAAAGGTGGGAGGGGCTGCGTGTCGCGGCCGGTGGGTTCAAGCTGCTTTACAGCCAATCGCCCCGGGTGTGATCGGCTCCTCGGCGAGACAAAATGCACATGCATTTTGCACCATGACAGAGGGGGTCCCTACATGTTCCCCATGTTATGGTTCTAAATATCGCCTTTGGGGCAACTTGAAGCGTGATTCAGTGATTCCATTGAGTGGGATGTTTACAGGGATTCTTTTTCAATAGCCAGCTTGGGGAATGTCTCTTACTGAAAAGAGTCAGACCTTAGCAAGAAGCCGGGTTGGAGGGGCCGGACAACTTTTCGAATCCTTCCCCAAAGGGTCCCTCATGGAATCTTGCAATTGTCTGTCCAATGTATTTTGACCTCTGACTTGGAAGATCTCAGCGAGCTGAAGTGCCCGAGTCAGCCAACGACCATGTTGCACTGAGCAGCAAGCCTGCTTAAGCCAGCCATGCCAAACAAGCATGCTTTGGCCAGATGCGCAGCCGAAAGTCGACTTGGCGAACATGCAGACGCAGAGAAGGCCTATATTAAAGTGCTTGGAGGTTGCTTCAAAACGAGGAATCTTCAAGACAACTTGAGCCCCTCCCCACAGTCCAACAGCTCTCTGCCTAAGGCATCAGATTTCTGCCTGGGTTCTTCGCATCTTCCGAATGTCCAGAGGCCTGGTTGCTTGAGAAGATGTGAGAAGGATGGGTGGCTCTGATTGCCAGAAGTGTGAAACCCTACATTTACGTGGGCGTCTCCTTGCTGAATCCAGGGCCCAGGTTTCCATGAAAGAGACTGCAGGTCATCCAGTTTCATTCGCCCTTCATGCATCATGAAACATGTTTGCCAACATTTGATCATTCACGACATGCTCAGACTGCAGAGTAACCCCCCCTTTCAGCATCTCTGTTCTACGCAGTCGAGACCAACGCCTGGATTCCGGTCAAGTTGCAAACGAAACGAACAGCCGCGAGATGCAGATCTTGACAGGTCAGATCTCCAGCAATGGCTATGCCGTCACTGTGCCAGTGGCAGACTGCTGCCTCCTGGGAAGGCATGCGGCGCTTGCCACGCGCGGGTTTCACACAAGCACGGTGTTCATGTTCCTTTCCGCGGAGCCGCCTGGAGTCGGTTGCCAAATTGGCTGAATAAGTTTGTGAAGGAAATGATCGGCCATTACCCAAAGGTGATGTTTCAGCAGGTGCCCCAAGAGTGTTGGACAGGTGCTTGCAAGCAAGCTTGACGCCAGAATGCTCTGGAGAAATGTTGTTTGATGCATGAGTTGTGCAATGGGATCCTCTGGTTGACTAATTAATATGGGGGTATCCCCTTTTCGTGAGAATCCTTGACTTTTGGAGGGAACTCCCCCCTATTGGTTGCACCACTGGAGGAGTGTGCCTTGCCCCTGGTTAGTGGCCCCTTAGCTTATAATGGGATCAACAAATCGCTCCAAACGCCTTTTGGAGTGGCCTCCTTTGCCACAGGACGGCTCCGAGAAACTCCAAGCAGCTTCCGCTGGAGACGCTGGGCTGTAAGTGTCTTGCCAGTGGATGGATATCTGCCGGCCTTTTGGAAGGCCCCCATGCAAGTGTTGTCTACCAACGGGTCACCAACGATTCATGCCCAGATGAACCCTTGTTCATCCGAAGCTTCACTAATTTCTACCTTCACAACGGAACCGGTTGACAATGAGTGGCTTTCCTTTGGTTTCTCGCCGCAAGAAGGAGGGATCCATGAAAAGAGACACGCCAAAGTCGAGGGGCACCATAGAGAGGCAGGCGATAATCCGTGCCTCAGCCCGCCACAAACCAAATCCCACGACCCCCAGCTGCCTTTGGCTTCTGAGGCCAGCCTTCCGCCCTCCGGGCCTCGACCTCGCGCCGGAGCGCACGGGGTTGCACTTTCCCAGGTTGGTCTCACCAGGTTGGTCTCAAAGTGGTCTCAAGATTTGGGGGATTCGCTTTTTGGATGGTTTTGGATGGTTTTGGATGGTTTGAAGGGCAATCAGCAATAGGGCCTGCTCTTTTTGTATGGTTTTGGATTGTTTTCAGGAGAGTCAGCACTAGTCACTAGGGATTTGCTTTTTGGATGGTTCTGGATTTTTGCTTGAGGAGAATCAACACTAGAGATTCGTTTTTTCGTCATGGTTTTGGATGGTTGTAAAGGCTTTGGATGGTTTTAAGGGGAATCTGCAAAGGGGACTCGCCTTTTTGATGGTTTTGACATTGTTCAACGAAGAATCAGCAAGAGGGGACGTGCTTCTTGGATGGTCTTGTGTGGTTTTCAGGAGAACGAGCAACAGGGGGATTCACTTGTTGGATGTTTTTTGGATGGTTAAATCAGCAACAGGGGAGGATTGGTTTTCTGGATGGTTTTGGATGCCCTTAAGGGGACTCAGCAATAGGGGATTCGCGTCTTGGATGGTGTTGGATGGTTTTGAAGAGAATCAGCCAGAGGAGGGTTGGCCTCTTGGATAATTTTGGATGGTAAGGAAAACCAACATAGGGAATCTACTTTTGGATGGCTTTGGATGGTGTTCAGGAGCAGCAAGCAACTGAGGATTCGCTTTTGGAGGATCGTGGATGGTTTTACACGCCCTCAGACTAATGTCAGAAGGACTTCAGAACGAAGTCTTCCAAAGGGGTGGGAGCTTCCGTGGCCTGGGGGAGGGCGTGGTGTCGGATCGTGTTGAGGAAGATGAGCAATAGGGGACTTGCTGTTGGATGTCTTTCGATGGTTTAAAGGGGGTGGTGATTTTGAGGAGATCTAGAATCAGCAATAGGGGTTTTTGAGAAGAATCAACGAGGGAATGTGGTTTCGGATGTGTTGATCAGAGTTCGCAACAAGGGAGGGATTTGCCTTTTGAATGGTTTTGGGTGGTTTTATGTTTAAGGAGAATCAACATGGGATTCACTTTTTGGATGCTTCTTCAGGAGAATCAACGTACGTAAATGCACTTTTTGGATGGCTGTGGCTGGTTTTAAGGAGAAACAATATGGGGAATCCACGTTTTTCATGGTTGTAGATGATTTTACGGAGAATCAACGAAGAGATCTTCGTTTTGCATGGCTCGGATAGTTCTAGGTTTGGATGGATGGTGTTAAGGAGAATCACCAACAGGGGATCCGCCTTTTGAATGGTTTTGGATGGTTTTGAGGAGGGTCAAGACTAGGATTTTGTTTGATGGCTTTGGATGGCTTTAACGAGAATCAGCAATCAGGGGATGCGCTTTTTGGATGGGTTTGGAATATGTTTGGATGTTTTTAATTGAGGAGGACCAACACGGTTTTTAGATGTTTTTTACTGGTCTTGAGATAGGGGACCTGCTTTTTTGTGACAGTTTGGATGGTTTTATGCGGACACCGGGCATCCGGCATGTTCGGTTTGAAGGAGAACCAACATAGGGGATCCGCCTTTTGGATGGTTGCACGGGTTTTTCGGTGCCTCGGTTTGGATGGTTCCAAGTGGCTCACTGGCTTGCAGATACATTTTGAAACTCCTGATGTCCTGCCGGTGACGCATAGGGACAACTGTTTCCTGTGTGCGTGTGGCGCACAGGGACCACGCACGCTTAAACATTGGCGAGCGGCAGGATGGTCAACTGGGTGGCGCTGAGAACCAGAGCATGGTGCTCCAGTTCTGCGGATTGCCCGGCGTGCACCGCGGTTTCGACAGAGTCCGGATTCTCACGGCCTGGGGGTTGTGGTGTGAAAAGCCCACGCATGTTTGCAGGACACCGGCTGTGTTTGCCAGCCTAGCCTGGTCTGGTTGGGAATTGAACTCGTGCCTTGGTAAACGTTGGCCAGCATTTGGGTGGATGGCGCCCCTGCGCAATGACTACTTTGGCCTCGCATATGTTTGCATAGCTAGTCCAATCATTCCAGATCATTTGTCTCGGCCTCAAATACGAGACTCAACATTTCCGAGCTCCAAATGTAGCAACGCGCTTCGGCCCGCTCTTTGCGCGATGTCGCATTTGGCCCTCGGTGCAAGGTACGCGCCTGTAGTGGTGCCGGTCCCCGAGAAGCCAACGCCTGTGGAGATGCAGCCGGCTTCTGGAGAGCTTGCAGCTGGTATCTGTTTAATGGGAATCACGGATGAATAAGCCCTTGGTTGAATTCAGAGCTGTCCAACTTGAGCACCTTTCAGAAGCGAATTTGAGGCTCACTGCATTCCTGCAAGACCCCGAAAGTGCATCCAGCCACAGCCGAACTCACATCTTCAGGCCATTGCCAAGCTGGCTCGGAACCAGGAGGGGGCGGAGTACCTGTCTCAGCTTCTGGCTTCCAGCCCCATGGCAATGCCGCTGGCGGTCACCGCTTTGCTCCCAGAGCTCCCGTGACCCGGTGAGGGACTTGCTGTGAAGAGATGTACATACAAGTGTTTGCGCAGAGGGACGTGTCACTCAAAGTCATCATCCAACCCCTCATTCGGCGCCTTTGCCCAAGGTATTTGGCCAGCCACCCCCATGGCGCAGTGGTGGTCAGCGACCTCTTCACCGCTGCACGCCTGACCAAGGATACACGCCGTGTCGCCATGATGTCCCAGAGGCTCCAAGGGTCCCTGCTGAGGCGGGGGCGAAGAAAGCAGGCAGCTGTCGCTATATTTCAAACTTTGCGTGGCTGAAGCATCAGGGTTTGGGTTATTTTTACTGGATGTGTGTGTGTGTGTGTGCGGAGTGACAGAATACCCTGTCACCACCTTGGGTCGTTTTCGGAGGCAGGGGGCACGGCAGTTCATTCTCTAGCCGTGCCAACGAAGCTGTGAGAATGAGCCGGAAGGGAGTTTGGACGCAAACTCCTGTACCTGCAAGTGATTCTGAATGTCCTTTTGGCCCCTTGGTTGCGGCGCTGTTTGTGCTTCTTGTTCTTTCGGGTAACGTGTTCGCTGCTAGACGGAAGCCAAGTGACTGCAAGTCGATCCTACTCGAAACTCATCAGTTGTACTCGAGACTCATCAGTTGTACTCGAGACTCATCAGTTGTACTCGAAAGATTAGCACTCTCCATTTGGAATTCAAGTGTGTACACCCCATTCGTGGGGAATCCTCGGGTATGCCCATTGTGTGACCCCGGGCCGGCTCTGTCGGAAAATTTGACCTCAACGTGCTTATCATAGAACAGCGGAATTTCACATTTAACCAGGAACGAGGTTTCACTAAAGGGAAGACAGCGATCAGACCATAGTGACGTCTCACCTCAGCTGCTGGCTGCCGACTTTCAATGCATTGGCTTACCATTGGTTGAATGTTGCTCGTATCATAGCGGTTGAAGATTGCTGACTTGTTTTTGCTTTGCCTTGTAAATGTCGGCTTACCTTTTGTCGGATCCATTTCATCGACCATCGCAGCTGGGGGCCGTTGACTTGCATTTGCATTGATTTGCATGTTGTCGGATCCGTTTCTCTCAAGGTGGAAGTGTGAAGATTCAGAGTCGGTTGCGTCACCATGTCTCGACGTGATGATCGTGATAGATCCAGGACTCGGCGCAGACGCGACCGGAGTACTTCTCCCCAAGCTCGCAAAGCACACCGGCGTGAACACAATGACCACCACGTCTCGGAGGGCATGGATTGGAACAACCTGGTATCTTGGCAACACAATTCTGGCTACAACTCCGCCAACAATTTCCCGATGATGTCCAGCAATTTTCAATCGATCCCTAGTCCCACGCAGCAGTTCCATCATCCATCGATCAACTACATGATGCCGATTCCTCCAGAGCCCACGTCAACGAAGTTCATGCCGTCCGTGATATCACCACCGGTCACTACCTCTCAACCTTTACCGCCACCTGGACCTCCTGCTGCTCTACCGGTTCGTCCTCAGAAAGCCTGGCTTACACCATCACCTGACTGGACACCTGGAGATGGCATGTTAGATGTCAATCAGCTCTACAACTTCAGCCTGCCCATGACGGTTGCCAACACTCCTCATAGCAACCAACGCGACATGTCAGGCATGGACATTCGTGACGTTCGCCTGATTCAGGTTATTCATGGGGGCCTCACCAACTGGCTACTCCGACCGTTTGCTCACGGCAGATTCGTGACGTGGGAAGGCTTTCGCACTCGCACTGAGGCCTTGCTTTGGAGTGCCTGTTCCAAACTATTACGGCGATCGCAGTCGATCAACCTGCTCACCCTGGAAAAGGACCTTGCCAATTCGCTGGGACTCAACCTCGATGACTTCAATCAGCGGATCAAGGTTCATGACCATTTGGCCAACTTGGTACTCCAATTTCTTGAACAACACCACGCCTCTCTCACGCCTCCCACCCAGACAGATGACATGGTCAAGAAGTACAATGATCTACATCGTGCTCATGAACTGCTCCAGGCTCAGTATTCAGCATCGCTTCGCGCTTCGACCTCCCCCACGGTGGCAAGCCAGAAAGATGATGCAGAATTGGTCACACCGCCACCGGTCAACCACACACAATCCTCGTCGCCTGCCAGCTCCCTCCCTACGGCCAGCGCAGCGGCCCTTGATGGCAAGTCGTTTGATAGCGCGGTGCAGCCCCGGATCATTCAGTCTCTTCACGGAGTTTCTTCGCCACCGTCCAAGCCGGCGGCCTCTCAATTGCTCACCATGCACAGCATGCCGGAAGAAGTTGTCAAGTACTACACATGGACCAGTGACCAGCCACGCTTGTTTCTCAAGCAATCGCCCACAACCGCAACTTTGACGTCACTGGTCAAGTGGGCCAATCACCCGTCCCGGCCCAACGGCAACAAGTCATTGGATTCCATGGCGACGCAACTCCTCCAGGCGCGTCAACACATGCCAAAAGGCGACGCACCCACTCTCGGGGCGATGGCGGCTTCGTGGGGACTGGAGCCCGGCTATCTCACCAAGCTCACTGAGAAGTCGCTGAGTCACCTCATCGTGACCGCTCGCCTACTCAGCGGATGAGCAGGCACCTTGACGAACTTCGTTCACTTATGAGCCCGGAGCGGCAGCCGTGTCACGAAGGAGTCGAGGTTTAAAACTCGTCCGGCATCTTCTTGCTTTGCATTAGTTTGATCTTGTGCTTGACTGTGCTTGCATTGTCTTGTGCGTGGTGTTCTGTGCAGCTTGTATTCATGTCGCCGCCTCACGGTAGATTTCATTGGTTGCATGTTCCATGTTGGCTGAGCTTCGCCGCTGTGGAATCTATGATGATGTTGCACAATGGCAGTCTCTGGACAACTTTCTACACTCGTTGACCATGTTCTCTACGTGCTGGCAACACTGCTTCCCTGGACTACCACTACCGTCGATACCAGCCGATGAGTATGCATCAATCACGCAACTACCGTGGTTGGGCCTCATTCTGGAGGTCTTAGTTGTGGTCCGGATTGCCCTTCAGATTCCGAATCACGCTATGTCGCATTCTCAACATACTGTGGCCAACAGGTATGAGCTCCACAGATGTCGGTGCACCGCCTATTTATTGATCAGTTTCTTGCAACGTCTCATCTCTCAAGATCACGGCTACTTCCCACCGTTCTTTGAAGCTCTTCACTTCTACAAGACATCTCTCTTGTGTGAAATTATGCACTCCACTTTCGCAGACACGAGACATCTTCGCTCATTGCGGACACGGTTTCCGGACCTCTATGACTTCATTCACGATCCAGGTCATCACCAACAACCGTGCGTCTACATCCGACTTTCTCCATGGCACACGCCTTACTACGTTGGTGCGACTGATCAGGACGTTCTACGACGTGAGCGCTCACGCAGTCGCAAATTTCTACAACTACTCCGGGGACGTCATGCCTTCTTCGAACCCGCGCTTCACTACTGGAAGCGCTCCAATACTTACTGGCTTTTCTGTGCAGTTCCGGTTGAGATTAAACTTCCCGTTTCCTCGGTTTGGGTCCAAGAAAGCAAATGGCAATACCTGCTACGTCCGCATTTGAATGCGCCCTGGGCACATAGACTTCTACGAAAGGTGGGCTTCCGGGAGCATCTCGTTGATTTTCGACGTCATTCGTTGTCGTCTCCCACCCCCCTCTGTTTACACAAGCGCTTTCGTCGACGACTACATCCGGATCTTCAACGGCAATTACGACCAGACATGTTGGATGACATTCAAGCACATTACTCGATTCTCTATCAGCTGGGATCCAATACAGGCGCATCGTTCCAAGCCATGCGTGACCTACTGTCGGCGGCTTTTCCTCCCACTCAGCTTTACTACTTTCTGCGACTCTCTGTCTTTGTCAACGAGCCCTTTCGCTCCAAGGCACAGAAACTCCTCGCCCAGGTGTTGCGCAAACGCCAGCTACGGTCACCCAGCACTTTGACACAACTACTTCTACCGCCTCTACATGTCCGGAATTGGAAAGCTCAACTTGGCACATGGTTACAAAGCTGGATTGCTTCTCATCGTGACCTGTTTCCCTCCCTATTCCTTCCAAAGATCCGAGTGGTGGAAACCCGCAGCGCCACGTTGGGCGACAGGATCTACAACTACCGCACATGGCAACGCAGATGGACTCCTGAGACATCTTTTCCGTGTCGCTGTTTGGACATTGATGATCACCACCTACACCGTGCACATGAACATGCTGTAATGGTAGATGAGTTCTCACGCATCAATGCGGACATTGACATGGAGATCATGGCCGCGTCTATGAAGGATCAGTATTTCGGTGATGTTGACTTGTTGCATCGGCGTTTCACTACGCAACTTCGCAAACTAGCTCGTCGGTGGCACGTACATGGTTCCAGCCTTCTTGCTGACCTACAGCCGGTTTTGACTCAGTTGATGGACACCCATCGATCCAACCTTCAAGATCGCGCTTATTGGTCATCGACATCACTGCAGCGCACCGTGGCTTCACTGTCCTCGTGGGTTGTAATCCCCGCCGATCATTTCCCTTCTCGTGCACATGTGATTTGTCCTTCGTTGTTTGCCATACTGATGCGTAAGACCTTTTGCACGGGAGATGTCTTTTCGCTATGTCGTGAATCCGCAGCATCTTTTCGCTCTGAAGTGGTCACTACGGTACCCTCCCTCCTACTTCAACGATATGCATGGGGACTTCGACGTCAAGCACCATTGCCCACAGCTCGCATCCTTCCAAAGCCGACCAAGGATTGGCAGAAAGCACGACCCATCATTTCATTCTTTCGCACGTGGGCAGCTCCTTTCCTCACGGTCTTCGGCGCCCTCATATTTGAACTTACCAAAGTTACTTTTCCCGACATTGCAGGACAACTTTCAGTACAAGAACTTGTCCAGCAGCTGTGGGAGTCACTGTCAAAGGCTGATCCCGACGAATACATCCACCTGGTGTCTCAAGACCTGTCCGGCTTCTTCACGTCTATTCCTACGGAACGCTTCCACCAGGCACTACAGGTGCTTCTCCATCGTTACGATCAAGTTGTTGGCCTTCGCCGATCCTCCCAATGGTCAGTGTACGAAGTAAAGTCTGACCATCGGCGCCGTATGTTCAAAGGAAAATGGCGCCGTCAAACAAAGGTCCCTCGAACTTTTCGTGAACAAGACCTCCGGTACCTCCTGGACTTTGTCATTGACAACAGTCACTTTGAGATCAACGGATACTTGTTCCGCCAAGAA